TATTTTTTAGTATAGTTTTAGTATAGCATTTTTTAATGTAATATAGAAAATAATTTATAAAATTGTTTTATAATAATTTATATAATAGATATTATACAATAGAATTTATACTGTATATTATATGATATATTTGTATAATACATATTTTATATGTATTATACAAATATATTAAATATAAATAAATATATAAATAAATATAAATAAATTATTTATTTATAAGAATTTTATTTCTTTATAAAATATTAAAATAGCTTTTTAAGAACATAGGTTCATCATTCCTCCCAACGATGGGGGTCTCAGAAAATACACAGGGGGGTTTGTGAGGGTCCCAGGGGCACAGCACATCCCCATCCCATTGCAGGGGCTCGCATCTGGCTCTTCATTGGCTTCATGATGGCTTTTGGCTCCCTCATTGCCTCCATGTGGATCCTCTTTGGGGGCTACGTGGTTAAAGGTAAGAGCTGAGCCTGTTTTTGGGGAGTTTAAGGTGTTTTAATTAATTTCTGGATTTTTAGAACTGGTGTTTAGAGGTTTCTAGCAGGCCCAGTTTGAATATTTTGCCCTACACTCCGCTCTCCCATATCATTACTGATATTGGGATGGATCTGATCTATTTCTAAGGACAAACTTCCTCTACAAACCGGGCTGGGAACTCCATGGGTATAATTAAATGCTGCAGTTTTAAGGGAATCATTCCCTGGGTGAACACTTATTCCCAGAACACAAATTACTGAGCTCCTGCAGATTGCTCCCAAAGCCTCTCTGCTAAATTAGCACAAGGGAAATGACATGTCAGAAATGGGATAGGCTTGAAAATTACTTCAAAAAAAAATTTATGGGGATTTTTTTTTTCCTCTTAGAAAAACCAGTGGTGTACCCAGGAATAGCAGTGTTTTTCCAGAATGCATTCATCTTTTTTGGGTAAGACTGACCTCTTTTATTTGTTTACCCTTTAATTTTAATGACAGAAAGCTGAAACTTGCTGTGATCTGGGTGGTGCTGGAGTTCTGCTTTGTGAGCAGATCAGTGTGAACAAACTGGGATGTGCCTGCAGAGGAACTGGGTTAACAGATCCCCCTTGAAACCTTGTGTTTTAAACAAGAGGGGTTTTAAACAAGGTTTTTGTGGTGTCCCTTTGTTCCCACAGGGGCCTGGTGTTCAAGTTTGGGCGCACGGAGGATCTGTGGCAGTGAACCCCCCTGGGCTCTGCCTGCACCCCCAGAGTTTTGTAAAACCATTTTGTAAACCTTCCATCGTGTCTGAAGAGAAATCAAGCAAAGCTGAAAGCACTAAATCAGCTCTATTCTGGTTATTTTTTTTACTCTTGTACGTAATCCACTTCAGCGTTGTGGTGTTTTTGAGAAACGTAAAATTCCTACAAACAGCAGTGGAGTCACTTTTCTAAAATGATGTTTGTTACAAATAAAAGGAGAGTGGGACATGGATGTATTTAACCAGCTCTTTCTATGATGTTATTTACACTCCAAGACTTATTAAAAATGCATTTAAACAACCTTTTAACAGATATTTATTAAATATTTCCTATATCTGGGCAATATAACCGTTTCTTCAATTTCAAAACTTGCTGGTGTGTGGCTTTTCTTGTGTCATTCAGAACTGGGGTGGTTTGGGATGTTTCTTTCCCCTCCATTCCTGAATATTTCCTTTATCCTGTAGTGATAAAGAGGAAATGTGAAATGTGGGAAGTACCAACTCCCAGCTGTGTGCAGAAGGTTTGGGAGCTGCTTCTCAGGAGGAAACATCCCAAGGAAAGGATTTTCCATAAAAGATGTGTGTGGCATCACTGCTCACAGGGTGCTGAAGGAAGGGAAGCAGCCACGGTTCAGTTTTCACTCTTTATTAAGTAAGCACTGCTCAAAGATTTTCTACATCAACAATTCCTGAAAGAAAGAAACACTGAGGATCACAATCCACTGAAACCCAGGGTGCAGTGGCACAGAATGCTCCGTCCCCAAGGTGCTGCTCTCCAGAATGGGGTGCTGCCAGCACTGAGCCCCCTGCCCTGTGCTGTCCCTGTGTTTCACACTTGGCACCAAACCCCAGGGCTTTCAGGAACACCACCCTGGCCATCAGAACCTCCCACTATCCAGGTTTTTCAGGAGTTATATATAATACCCAGGTTTTTCCAGGAGTTCAGGCAGGCAGGATGCAGAGTTCTGGCCCTGCTCCAGCTCACTCATCAAATCCTGGCTTGTCAAGGCCTTCAGCAGAATCAATTCAGCTTAAAAACTTGAGGACTTTGCTAGATAAGAGTGCTCCTTGAGAAATGACACTTTCAAATCCATCATTTTGCCTTGTAAACCTGGGAGCTAAAAATACTTTAATGTTTCCAAGCATTTGGATTGAGAAGCCATGAATACATATCTTATAAAAAATATTCAAGGTAAGGCCAACAAAGCAGAAAAGCTGCGTGCAGCTGAAGTTTACATTTGTGAATTTACACTCTGTATCTCTCAAGAATAACTGGAACAGTTTCATTTTTGAGTGTCCATTGGGGTGGCTTTTGTGGGCCTGAGCATTGGTATTTCAGTGCTCTTTGAAGCCATCATAGCTGTTCAGTTTTTCTGGTGATAAAGAGGAAAATCTTATCCTGGTCCTGTCTGTCAGCTGGGATCCTCCACTCAAAATCCAACAGACAAGTGGGGAAACTGTGAACACAAACATTCCTGTATCAGAACACATCAAATCACCACAGGAAAACCCCCAAACCAATGGAAAAGCTGATTAAAAGCTTATTTTCACCCATTTGTTATTCCTGTAATTCAGACACAGCCTCACATCAGCACCTAAGGGTGCCCAAGGACTGTTTGTGCTGGGAAAAGGAATAACTCTTTTTTTCCTCCATATTTTTAATTCAGATACCTGGAGTTCTTCATCAAGGTGCTAAATGAACTCCCCCACAGGGAATCTGAAATGATTTTGAAACTCACCTCCCAGTAAAACTGGTCATCAAAGTACTTAGAGACATGCACAGCTTTCAGCAGTTTGATGTTTAAGATCAAACCTGTTGGTGAAAATGGAGAGATCCAAAATAAACACAAACAGCAGGGCAAGGGGAGGATTGTGTGTAACGGGAGTTTCTTGGCAACATTTATCCCAATTTAACACAGCAAAACACAAATTCAGACCTAAATCCTCCAGCAGAGCCCCCCTGACTCGAGCTGGCTTTAAATACAAAAAGAGGCTTGCCAGGATCAAGGGACACTAAAAATGGATTGCTTTAGGTAAAACCCCATCAAACAGCTGCTAGATTGTGAAAATACATCAAAATGATGAGTTTCCTGCACGACAAGTGCCTGTGTATTAAAAAACAATGTGGCTTATCAGCACTGTTAGTTTGGGATCTCTGATGGGAATCTCTGGGTTTTTGAACAATTGGTTCAACAGTGAATGTTTGGTTATTTCAGCTGGATGTTTTCTAAAGATCTGCTCCTTCTTCATTACACTTAAAGCCATGCAAAGGTTTAAATAAATTAAAACATTCAGAAATCACTGTAGGGTGTGCTTCCCAGCAATTTTCACTGGCCGTTTCTCTGTTGCCCCAGACAGAATTAAAGGCTGGGGAAAAAGCAGCAGCTGCCACAAACCAGAGCATTCCACGGGAGCCACGTGAGGGCTGCTGCTCCCAAAGCAGCAAAAAGTCCCAAAAATCCCCAAATCTCCTGATCAAAGGGCTGCAGCTGGGCTCAGGCAGCTCCTGATGCTGGTGAAACTTTGCACATTTGCTCCAAATGGCCTAAAAAGTGACAAGCCCCTGTCAATAAGACAACACCCAAAAGGGGAAGTATTTTCATCTTCACACCTCTCCTGTCTGCAGGTTGAAGGCAGCTGTTAAACCTGGGTTAAAATAAAACTTCAGCACTGAAAGAATGGTGCTGCTGGGTTATTTCTGTGCAAAACAGCTCTGGCTGGGAGGAGTCCCTGGCACTCATTTCTCCCACAAGTGATTTACCCAGAGTTGCTCCAAGGAAAGAAAGGGATTCCTGGGATGTGTCAGTACTGACCTGTAATCAATCCTGTTACCAGGGCAGTGCTGATGGTCTGGCAGAAGGCACCAATATAAACAAAGGCATCATAACCCAGTCTGGAAAGCAAAAAAAGTGTTTCACCTTTTATTTAGCATTACCACTGGGAATGAGTCTGCAGCTATCAGATTCTCATAGAAGCTGTAATTCTTAAATCTGCAGCTGCAGTCAGATGTTTTAGGAACACACCAAAGCCTAATGCAGACTTCAGGAGATTTATTTTGTCCATCCTTTTGGTATTAAACCTTCTTTAAATGTTTCATTAAGAACATGATGGGAAGTGTCAGGCCCTCATGCTGCACCCTCATTTCTCCCTCCCTCCTGAGCCCCCCAAAACATCCCAAACCCTAAAGTGAGCCTTGCAGGGAGGCACATGCCCAGCCTTCACCTCCTGTGTCTGCTGGATTTAACATAAACAAAAAGGGAGGCAGAAAACAGGACCCAAAGTCTGCTCAAATCTCAAATTCCTTTTTACTGACTTTTTCTTGGTTTTGGACTTCAGGGTTATGGTGGGTTACCTGACATAAAGCAATGTATTGTGATGACATTCAGGCTCTCTGGGTGTCCAACAACTCTTCCCAGGGCAGGCTGCAGTGAGGATTATTTATCCTCATTATTTAATACAAGAATTTATGTACCTGGATAATTCATTCCGTCGTGTGTCAATCCTATCCTCTACAAGTGCGAGCACAACAGCGGCCACAGCTCCAAGCACAGCAGGCAACCCAAAAGTGAAATGAACTCCAGAAGTATCCTGGAGCTTCAAGGCAGGATTAAAGCACCTCTGGGAAGAGGAAAAGGTTTAATTATACCCAGAAACACAAGTTGGTAATTGCAGATCAGCTGCTGCAGACCTAGAGGATGAATTTGCTCTCAGGAGCTGCAATCCCGCGCTCTGCTCAAAACACCTCAGGTTTCCTAGCTTGGAAAAGAGTTATCCTGCGCTGGAAAAACCACTTACACAGCTTATCCAAGGAGCATTCAGGGGGGTGAGCATTACCTGCACACAGTGAGAGCCCAGGATGGTGATGCCAGTGGCCAGCAGCCCCAGGAGCATGGCAATCCAGGGCTGGTGGATGCGCTCTGTGGTGCAGCTGATGGCGACCCCTCCAGCAAGCACTGCACTGCGGATCTGAGCCTGGGAACAGCAACAACAGCCAGCAGGGACTCCTTACTAGGGCTTGTAGGGCTACAACAAGGGCCAGTGCCTCTGCACTGAGAGAGGGAAGCTGCAGATTCAATGTGGGGAAGGTGTAAAGCCCTGGCACAGGTGCCCAGAGCAGCTGTGGGTGCCCCTGCATCCCTGGCAGTGCCCAAGGCCAGGTTGGACAGGGCTGGGAGCAGCCTGGCACAGTGGGAGATGTCCCTGCCCATGGCAGGGGTGGGATGAGGTGATCTTTGATGCCCCTTCCCATCCAAACCCCTCTGTGAGTCTGTGACTGTCAGACCCTGGGCAAGGTTTCACTTCCTGAGGGTACCACAAACTCTCTTTGAACAGAAAATCCCCATGCAGGGTTTTCCCTCGTCCTTACCATTCTGAATTTGCCATCCTTGGAGGTCAGAGCAGACAACATGAAGGCAGCCACAGCACTCACTGCCAGGGCCAAGTAGGTGTTGAGCACTGCTTGCATCTTGGATAAAGGCAGGATAGAATTGAAGCTCGGCCAGAACACCCAGACAAACACAGTGCCTTGGGGACAAGGAAAGAGAGCCTCAGGAGCTGCTCTGAAGCACAGGGAGCCATCACTGCCTGTCCCTGCAGGGCTGCAGCCCACAGGGTGCACTCACTGCAATTCCCAAAGCTTTCCCAAAGCAGAGCTGCTCTTGTCCCACACCCCTAACAGGTCACACAGGCATTGTCACTGTGAGGCACAAATCCAGTTTCCATTGCTGATATCCATGATTTCAGTGCACCGAGGTTCAGATAACCCTGCCTCACACAGGACAGGCCATTTCAGCAACTCTAAACTGAAGGTGGCACTGAGGATTGTGAGATGGTTCATCCTGTTCCCACTGATCAGGCAGTTAGCCAGTCATAAATACAGATATAAAATCCTCTGCAGCATTCTTGGGACGATCTGCTCAGCTCTGGAAATAAACAGCAAACAAGAACTCCAGGGACACAAAAGAGGAACATTTAAATTTTGTATTCCCTAAAGACTGACTGAGAATGAGACTCTGTGGACCCCTGCAGGAAGCTCTGGGCTCAGCTGCTGGCAGTTGCACTACTGTGATAATAAAGACACCAAATTGCTCCCCTAAGAAAAGGAATGAAAGTCCCAGACACTGAGCCTGTCCCTACCCTCATGGGCCTGTCTGTATCACACTCCCCACCCCTCAGCAGGCTTTATCTCTTTATTTCCCTCACCAGCAGGGACTGCCCTTTTCTATCTCTGTGCACCACCTGGAGCAGCAGCCTGAGCCCTGCTGAACACGAGTTCTGAGCTCAGCTCTGGCACACAGCCCCTCAGCCAAGCCAAGGGGCCAGCCTGGCCAGGAAAGGGAGTGTGAGCCTGGAGAAAGAGCTGGGAGCCTGGAATTGCCTTCGTGCTGAGGTGACCGAGCAAACTGAGCCCCAGCTGTGGCAGGAGCGGCCTCTGGGCCGGGCAGAAGAGGGGCCGGTGTCACAAACAGCACAGTTTGTGTGCTTGGCTGCATCCAGAGCTGCATTTCGCATTTACACCCCCAACCCTGCCCATGCAATCCCTCCATCCCTCGTGCAGCTGCAACACTCCAGCAGGACTCACCCAGCACTGAGAACAGCTCTGACTTTGGGGTGCTCCTGTCCTTGTCCAGCCCCGGGGGAGCCTCAGGGAAGCGGGAGGCGAGTGCCAGGCCAAAGTAGGCTCCAAAGAGGAACACGTGCGTCCCAGTGAGGTGCTCAGGGACCTGCTCCAACACAACAGTCACAGCTTATTGTGGGCTGAGCAGGCCCCACA